CGCGCACTTCGTGTACAGACACTGGGTGCACGACGCCGACGACCTCAACCTCAAGTACGCCAAATGGGTCACGGCGCTCGAGAACACCATGATCAGCCACCACCAGATCGACCCGAAGGAAGCCGCAGCATACACAGGCAGAGCCCAAGGCTACCAGTTATCGTGGAAGAAGACAGCCGCCGCCCCAGGCCGCGTACACGTACACGACCCTCAGTCGGAATGGTGGGCAATCACGCTCACCCTCATCAAGCGCTACGCCGCGCTTCACGACAAGCCCAAGCACATTGCGCTCATGCAGCAGCAGGCCTCCATCATCCAGCAGCGCGCGGACCACTTCAACACCCACATGCACGACCTCCAGTTCGAGAAAGATGAGGACACCATCTTCCGCTGGTTTGCACTCGTCTGGGCCCCGCACCTGGACAAGGATGACACCGACGACTTGGTCACCATTACCGCTACCTGGGCCTCCAGAGCTCTCTCGGCCGCCCTCGCCAAGTCCAAGAGGGCCTACGGGGCTTGGCTAGCCCAGCAATGGAAGCGCCGCCCTGGAGTACTACACGCCCATGTCAAGCCAGCGCCCGTACGTCACATCGGGGCCTACACGACCAACCTGACCATCGCCGACCCCACCGTTATCATGGACAACAAGAAGCGACAATGGCAACAAGTATGGCAAGCCACCGAGACCTCTGATGACATCCTACATGCCCTGTCAAAGGCCAAGGCAGCAGCTGCTCATCAACCGCTTGAGCCCATCACAGCCGAGATCGTACACCGTTTCCACAGCCGCATGCCACCCAGTAAAGCACACGGAGTTGACGCCCTAGGACCTCGCGACCCCCATCGACTACCAGAACCAGCAGTTGAAGCGTATGCAGATATTCTCAACTCAGTAGAGCAAGCAGGCATCTGGCCACTACAAATTTCAGGCACTATTGCAGCTCTCGCCGCCAAGAAGTCTGGAGGCGACCGAGTCCCCGGCATGCTACCTCATATGGCCAGACTCTGGTCTCGCATTAGATCGACTGCATCGACAGCCTGGACACAAGGTCTGGACGACTTTTGGACTACAGCCATCAAAGGCTCCTCAGCTCTCCAAGCGGCCCTACATAGGGCCTTGTTAGACGAGACAGCCTCAGCACTTGGCATACAGTCGGCCACCTTGCTATTAGACATCCAGAAGTTCTACGACAATAAAGCTCGCCAACCTCATCATGGTCGGCCTCAACTGCGGCTTTCCCCCCATCATTCTTTTACTGGAAGTACAGCTTTACCTGGCGCCCAGGTTCATGCGCAGTCGACAATGGGTGAGTATGCCTATCTTCGCCTCCAAAGGCATCATTGCAGGCTCCCCTCACGGCACCACATTGGCACGACTCATTTTACTACCAATTCTTCGACAAGCCCAAGCTCAGGCAGAGCTTGCCCAGATGTGGACCTTCGTAGACGACACTGTTCTTCGAGTCGAAGGAGTCCTACGCGCCCTACACAAGCATCTCCCCCGTGCCGCCAAGACGCTCTGCGACGGTTTAAAGGAGTTCGAGCTGCCTATCTCAGACAAGACCGTCCTCATCGGCTCCACCCCCAAGGTCCGCCACTCGCTAGCCAAGAAAATGCGACGGTACGACATCCCAGTTACTGCGACCGCCACGGCCGTCGACCTCGGAGTAGATGCGGCCGCGGCTACTCGACGAGTACAGGCTAAAGCCAGGAAGCGACAGAGCTCAGCCACAGCTAGGTTTCGCAAGATACACCGACTTCGGAGCACTGCACAGCAGGCCCGAATCTCAGCTGGACTGTGGCGCACTGGCGCTCTCCCAGAAGGAGTATTTGGGCATCAGGTGCACGGCCTCGCTCGGCACGCTCTACTACGATGGCGGCGTCAGGCCGCCATTGCAGCCACGGGCGCTGCAGCGGGCCGATGCCTCACTTCCCTCCTCGGCGCCACCTTCGACGGCATGGACCCAGGAGTTTCCCTTAGGATCGAGTTCATAGAGGCATGGCTTCAGCACTGGATACGCCACCCGAGCACGCACGCCAGGATCATCAGAGCCTGGCCAAGGATCAAGACCACCTTGCTCGCAGCGGGCCCCAAGCTGTGGTGCAAGGTCAAGGGACCCACAGGCGCGGCCATCGCGACTCTGCTGGAGGCCAGTTGGGATCCGACCTCAGCTACCACCTGGAGGCGTACAAAGGACGGCTACATTGAGGAGTGGAACCTCCCCCCTGCCGATGACCCTGACCTCCTAGACGCCGACATTCACACAGTTTTGCAGGACCCCAGCGAGGATTTACACAAGCTCCTCTGGACCCAGGCCGCTACGCATGCCCATGGTGACACGCTGGCTGGAGGCGCAGACATGGTCACTATCCGCATTGAACAAAGGAGGTTCCTCGCAAACGGCGACTTCAGCGACTGGGCCCTCAACAACACCATCATCAGCGGAGGACAGTGGACCAGAGACCGCCTCCACAACGCGGGCTATCAGATCGACATGAACTGCGACCGATGCAGCGCTGGAGTTCCTGAAACCTTGGTTCACCGAATGTGGCAGTGCGAGGCGAATGTAGGACCTGAGTTTGAGGCCAGTGACAAGCTACTGCCGCGTGCCGTGGCGGGGGTCGATGCCGACCCCGCCCTGTGGCTCCGTGGCATTCCCTCTGTCGCTCTCACCACGCCCACGTTCGAGCCATTGACTGGGAGGGACGGGTGGGAGTGTGTTGGGGCGGTGCGGGAGGGATTGCCGTCTTGGGAAGGAGCTCGTAACGCAGAGGGCGAGTTGTATCTTTTTGGAGACGGGTCTGGCGGGGCCTTTTCCGACGACGTCAGACGACGTCGCGTTGGTTCTGGCCTCGCGGCCCTCCGTTTGGACCCTCCCTCGGCCTCCTGGACCCTCCACGCGGGCCTCCTTGCCCCCCTCCCAGGCCCCCGCCAGACTGTCCCAAGAGGCGAATTATATGCGTTTTGCCTGGCACTTGAGACGTGCCAGCAGGATTTCACGTTTGTTACTGATCACCTAGCCTTGCAGCGAGGTTGGTAGAATGGCAGATGTCTCAGGCCTGGCGGCCTTGGAGGTAAGAATAAGAATGGGGATCTCTGGCTGAGGATTCGGCACCTCGTGCAGGATCGACCTGGCGGCGTCTCCTCGGTCACGGTGCTCTGGACCCCATCTCATGCCGATCCCCAGACTTTGCATGGTTTCCAACAATTCCTTGCTCTCGGCAACCAGCAAGCCGACGAGCTCGCGGGGAGCGCGGCCCACAAGTCGGCCACCCTTGCTCTCCCGCCTGTTCCCAGGACCGATGAATACGATGCTATCGCAGCCATCGTCCGACAGAGGGCACGACTGATCCTTCGTTCCTTAGGTAAGAATTCAGAGCCTCGAGGACTGTGGCCAGAGAGGCAACCCACCCAGGAGGCAGCCCCTCGTTCTATGTTGCAGACCGCGATTGCGGCGTCTCAGCACAAATTCGAGCGGTGTGCAGATAAATGGCGATGCTCTGTCTGCCACATCATCGTCGATTCTGGCCACGTTATTCCAGCTGCCGCCACGGAATGTGTGTTCCGCCTTGCCCCCTTCCCGAGTTTGCTGCGTGTGGCGAGGTGCTGTGGTCGCGGGGTCCCCGTGTGATCAGTGGCAAGGCTATTCACCCCTCCCACACGTTGGCCACTATCCCCAAGTGGCAAATGTTCTTTTGTGTGAAGTGCGGCCACACGGCTACGCACCAGGTTAAAAGCCTACAGTTTCCTTGCCCTCTCTCCCACCAAGTGGGAGAGCGCAGGGCCCTGGGACCCACTGGCAAAGGCCTCGAAAACCTCAGTAGGATCAGGCGAGGCCTTCACCCGTCCAGATCGGGTCCCAGCAAGTCTGTTCTAGAGGCCATGCACGTTTCGGCAGCCGCAACCGCGATCGGTTCCTACGCGGTAGGTGCTGCCTCCGAGTAAATTGTGAGGCCAGGGGGGCCTGTCGCGGTGTGCCGTGGGATGTCGCCCCCCACGGTCCTCCGAGAAATATTGGATGGCCCCCCTGGCGTCTCTGGGTTTCGAACGGACTACGTCCGATTGCTCCACTCCACTCCTCCTCCTCCTCCTCCTCCTCCTCCTCCTCCTCCTCCATCCTCCTCATCTCATCATCATCATCATCATCATCATCATCATCATTCATCATCATCATCATCATCATCATCATCATCATCATCATCATCATCATCATCATCATCATCATCATCATCATCATCATATCATCATCATCATCATCATCATCATTCATCATCATCATCATCATCATCATCATCATCATCATCATCATCATCATCATCATCATCATCATCATCATCATTCATCATCATCATCATCATCATCACATCATCATCCATCATTCATCATCATCATCATCATCATCATCATCATATCATCCTCATCATCATCCTCTTGTTCCGCTCCCCCTCCTCCTCTCCTGGCCCCCTCCTCCTCTCCCCCCCTCCTCTCCTCCTCCTGCCTCCTCCTCATCCTCCTTCATCATCATCAGCAGCATCATCATCAGCAGCAGCATCATCATCGTCCGCAGCAGCGTCAGCATCATCCGCGTCACCATCAGCATCATCATCAGCATCATCAGCACCGTCATCAACATCATCATCATCATCAGCAGCAGCAGCAGCAGCAGCAACATCGCCAGCATCATCATCAAGCAGCGCAACGCAAGGCAGAACAGGGCACCGCCAAGCAGCGCAGAGCAAAGCGGAAGATAGCAAAGCCAAGCAACGCAAGTCAACATCAGAAATAAAAATGCCCGGCAACGCAACGCCACGCAAAGCAACTAAACGCAATGCCAAGGTAACGTCGAGCAACGCCAACAAATGCCAAGCCGAGCAATGCCCAACAATGCAAGGCAATGCCCAAGCAAAGCAACGCGAAGCAACGCCAAGTGCTGCAAAACATCGCAAACCAACGAAAAGCAACGCCTAGCAATGCAAAGTAGCGCAAAGCATGTCCTTCCTTGGCAAGCTGCTCCCCTTTGAAACGCAAATTGGGGCCGCGCCAAGCTCACATGTTCCATCGAGCTCGGAAACTGTCAGCGACGTGGCAAGTGGCGCCGTTCGGGCCGACCTACCACTGTAAGCCCGAAGCAACTTCGGCGTTCCAAATACTGGAAATCAGTTCGCACGCAGGGGCAAAGCGCGCAGCTATCCACGCGTCAGCACTCCAGCGCGAACGCCCCTCATACATTTCAGCACCTGTCAGCTTCGGATCAAGCGGGCGCGCCGCGCACTCACTCCGACGACGGGGGCCGGATCGGACCTCGGCACAGGGCGCGACGGTCTTCAGGAGCACAGCCCCGCATTCTGCACGAGGTCAATCTCGCGCAGACGGCCGATGGGCTTGTCGCGGTCGCCGTTGCTGCGGTCGCAGAACCCCGAGCAGCACTTGCTGTCCTTGGCGCACAGCTTGCCCTTGGACTTGCAGCCGCCCTCCTCCTCGTCGGAGGCTCCGCCCTTGGTCGCGCCACCCTGGGACTCATCCGTCTGCGCGAGACTGGCCACGTCGGCGCAGACACCGACGGGCGGCGGCCAGACGGAGCAGTGCCCCGAGCAGCACTTTCTGTCCGCGTTGCACTGTTTGCCGTTGGACTTGCAGCCGCCCCCCTCCTGGTCCGAATCGCCGCCCTTCGTCGCGAGGGAGGCCCTGAGCTGCGCGAGCCCCGCCTCGTCGCACCCGCCCGCGGCCTCGCAGGACTCCGCCTCCTGCGAGGCCGGCACGCCCCGCACGAGCAGGGCCAGCCCGAGCAGCCCGGCCAGCGCCATGGGCCCTGGAGCGCGTGGGGCGTCGAAACTTGCGCTCTGGCCGGAACTCGAGGCCTTCTGAATGGGTTGGGCGTCGATGGGGCCCGAGGATCGCGCCGCATCGCCGATGCATCGGCGAGGCATCGGTGATGCATCGGCGATGCATCGGCGATGCACCAGCGATACATCGTCGACGTCGGCGGTGCATCGGCGACGTCGGCGTGAAGCAAATCGGGCTCAACATCGAGACGCATCGGCAATGCATCGGCGATGCGGCGCGATCCTCCGACCCCGTCTACCCCGACCCCACCTGGGAGGCCTGGAAAAACCGAACACTGGATCCGAAATGGCTCGGGCCAAAGCCGGGAACTGACACCGCCCCTCCTAGTTGAGCAGGGACCGACCGTCCCGGCGTTCCTATAGGCCCAGCACGAAATGTTCTTAGAACCCCAAAATGTTCTAATAACAAAAAATATCTTTGAACATAGACAATGTGTCAAAACAAGACAGTCCCCGCCAGAGATGCTCGAAGGACACGTCGTGCAGTCCACAAAAAGGTTCTCAGAACATCCTTCGGCAGGCCTGTGGGCGAGCTAGGACGCTTCGCCACTGCTTGACGTGGGCATCCCTGCACGCACGGGCACCGGCGGTGGAGGAGGAGGAGGATGCTGAGGGAGAGGAGGAGGAGGAGGAGGAGGAGGAAGAGGAGGAGAAGGAGGAGGAGGAGGAGGAGGAGGGGTAGGAGGAGGAGGAGGAGGAGGAGGAGGAGGAGGGGATGAGGAGGAGGAGGAGGAGGAGGAGGGGCAGCGCCCCGCCACTCGCGAGTCGCGCGGCTCGCCTCGCGCCCTCGTGCGCCGCGGCGTGGAGAAGGCCGGCTCGGCGGCCCCAGCCGCGGCGCACGAGCAGCGGACCCCTTCGCGCCCCTGGGGGGTGGCCCAGATTTGGGTCGGGCATGTCCCCCTACGGGGCAGATCTTCGACAAAATTATCCTGTGGGGGGAAACGCTGTTCTGAGTGAGTGGTGTGTCAAGTAAGGTTTCCGGGACGCATGCGGACGGTCCCACTGGGGGCTTCGGTGGAGCTCCCTATGGGGCCACGAAACGCTGTACTGGGTGGGTGAAAATGCCAAATTGGGCTTCCGGGGCGCATGCGGACGGTCCCACTGGAGGCTTCGGTGGAACGATCTATGGGGCCACGAAAAGCTATACTGGGTGGGTGAAAATGCCAAATTGGGCTTCCAGGACGCATGCGGACGGTCCCACTGGAGGCTTCGGTGGAGCTCACTAAGGGGCACTGGGGCCTTCGGTGGAGTTCCCTACGGGGCCACGAAACGCTGGACTGGGTGAATGAAAATGCCACAATGGGTGTTTCGGGACGCTTGCGGACAGTCCCACTGGGGCCTTCGGTGGAGCTCCCTGTGGGGCCACGAAACGCTGCACTGGGTGAGTGAAAATGCCACATTGGGTGTGCGGGACGCATGCGGACGGTAGCACTGGGGCCTTCGGTGGAGCTCCCTGTGGGGCCACGAAACGCTGCACTGGGTGGGCGAACATGCCAAGTTTGGTGTTTCAGGACGCACTCGGACAGTAGCACTGTGACCTTCGGTGGAGCTCCCTATGGGGCCACGAAACGCTGTACTGAGTGGGGGGGACGCATGTGGACGGTGGCACTGGGGCCTTAGGTGGAGCTCCCTATGGGGCCACGAAAGCGCTGTACTGGTGGGGGGGACGCATGTGGACGGTGGCACTGGGGCCTTCGGTGGAGCTCCCCTATGGGGCCACGAACGCTGTACTGAGTGGGGGGGACGCATGTGGACGGTGGCACTGGGGCCTTCGGTGGAGCTCCCTATGGGGCCACGAAACGCTGTACTGAGTGGGGGGACGCATGTGGACGGTGGCAGTGGGGCCTTCGGTGGAGCTCCCTATGGGGCCACGAAGCGCTGTACTGAGTGGGGGGGACGCATGTGGACGGTGGGAACGGTGGCACTGGGCCTTCGGTGGAGCTCCCTATGGGGCAACGAAGCGCTGCACTGGGTGTGGCGGACGCATGCGGGCACACCCTCTGGGGCCTTCGGTGGAGCTCCCTATGGGGCCACGAAACGCTGTACTCAGTAGGGGGGACGCATGTGGACGGTGGCACTGGGGCCTCCGGCGGAGCTCCTTATGGGGCCACGAAACGCTGTACTGAGTAGGGGGGACGCATGTGGACGGTGGCACTGGGGCCTTCGGAGGAGCTCCCTGTGGGGCCCCGAAACGCTGTACTGAGTGGTGGGGGCGCATGTGGACGGTGGCACTGGGGCCTTCGGTGGAGCTCCCTATGGGGCCACGAAGCGCTGCACTGGGTGGGGGGGACGCATGTGGACGGTGGTACTGGGGCCTTCGGTGGGAGCTCCCTGTGGGGCCACGAAACGCTGTACTGACGCATGTGGACGGTGGCACTGGGGGCCTCGCATGTGGACGACGCATGTCACTGGGGCCTTCGGTGGAGCTCCCTATGGGGCCCCGAAACGCTGTACTCTAAGTGGGGGGACGCATGTGACGGTGGCACTGGGGCCTTCGGTGGAGCTCCCTGTGGGGCCACGAAACGCTGTACTGAGTGGGGGGGACGCATGTGGACGGTGGCACTGGGGCCTTCGGTGGAGCTCCCTATGGGGCCACGAAACGCTGTACTGAGTGGGGGGGACGCATGTGGACGGTGGCACTGGGGCCTTCGGTGGAGCTCCCTATGGGGCCACGAAGCGCTGTACTGAGTGGGGGGGGCGCATGTGGACGGTGGCACTGGGGCCTTCGGTGGAGCTCCCCATGGGGCTACGAAAAGCTGTATTGGGTGGGTGAAACGCAGGGAAGAGGGGTGGGAGGGAGGAGGGGGGACAGGAGGAGAGGAGGAGAGGAGAACGCGGGGACCGTCTCTTCAAAACAAGGACCCAACACCACAGGATGGTTGGGAACAAATCTCGCACAGCATATTCCTCACTAAGGATCCCTGCTCGGAATCCTTGCGAAAGCTCGTCAACTAATGAACCCTTGCTGAGGATTCCGCGCTAAGAATGCATTGCTAAGGATTGCGGAATTAGGATTTCCCACTACGATTTCGTTCCCAGGGAATCCTCACTAAGGATGCCCTACACAGGCAAAAGAAGCCTCGGCGCACAGCATCATCATCATCATCATCATCATCATCATCATCATCATCATCAGCATCATCAGCAGCATCATCATCATCATCATCATCATCATCATCATCATCATCATCATCATCATCATCATCATCATCATCATCATCATCATCATCATCAGCATCAGCAATCATCATCACCACCACCATCATCATCATCTTCATCATCAGCATCATCATCAGCATCAACATCATCAGCATCAGCAGCATCATCGTCAGCATCATCATCATCATCATCATCCTCATCATCATCATACATCATCTCATCATCATCATCATCATCGTCATCATCATCATGTTCATCATCATCATCATCACCATCATCAGCAGCAGCAGCAGCATATCATCATCATCATCATCAGCATCAGCATCAGCATCATCAGCATCATCAGCATCATCATCAGCATCATCATCATCATTATCATCATCAACCACATAATCAGTATTAGCAGCATCATCATCAGCAGCAGCATCATCAGCATCATCACCGTCATCGGCATCAGCAGCGTCATCATTTTCAGTATCAGCATTATCACCATCACCATCACCATCACCATCACCAGAATCAGCATCTTCATTATCAGCATCAGCATCAGCTTCATCATCATCCTCATCAGTAGCATTATCATCATCATCGTCATCATCATCATAATCGTCATCATCATCATCATCATCATCAGCATCAGCATCACCAGCAGCATCATCATCATCAGCATCACCATGATCATCCTCATCAGCATCATCATCAGCATCAGCATCATCAGCATCATCATCATCATCATGATCAGCACCATCAGCATCATCATCAACATCATCATCATCATCATCATCATCAGCATCATCATCCGCGTCTTCCTCCTCCTCCTCCTCCTCCTCTTCCTCCTCCTTCTCCCCCTCCTCTTTCTGTTCTTCCTCTTCCTTTTGTCATAACCCTCCTTGGTTGGGTACTCGTTTTGAATAGAGTACTGCTCGCGCGTCCTTCCGTCCTCCCGCCTCCCGCCTCCCGCCTTCCTCCCGCCCTCCTGCTTGTCTCCTCTTGTCTTGCCTGGGGGGCTGCGATCTGCGAAACTGTCGCCACTTTCGAGGGCTGTTGGTGGGTCCAGCGGGGTTAGGCACAGCGCAGATCTGCACGGGACCTCGCCGTCCCTGGGGGCTACGATCTGCGAAACGGCCGCCACTTTCGGGGGCTGCTGGTGGGTCCAGCGGAGTAAGGCACCGCGCAGATCTTATCGGGACCTCGCCGCCCCAGGCCAGCATGCGATCCGCGAAACTGTCGCCACGTTCGAAGGCTGCTGGTGGGTCCAGCGGAGTAAGGCACCGCGCACATCTGAGCCAGACCTCGCCGTCCCTGGGGGACTGCGATCTGCGAAACCGTCGCCACGTTCGAGGGCTGCTGGTGGGCCCAGCGGGGTGAGGCACCGCGCAGATCTGGGCGGTAGCTCGCCGTCCCTGGGGGCTGCGATCTGCGAAACTGTGGCCACCTTCGAAGGCTGCTGCGGAGTGAGGCACCGCGCAGACCTTATCGGGACCTCGCCGTCCCTGGGGGGCTGCGGTCTGCGAACATGTTGGCACTTCCGAGGGTTGCTGGTGGGTCCAGCAGAGTGGGGCACCGCGCAGATCTGAGCTGGGCCTCGCCGTCCCTGGAGAGCTGCGATCTGCGAAACGGCCGCCACGTTCGATGGCTGCTGGTGGGTCTAGCGGAGTGAGGCACTGCGCCTGCTGGAGGGTCCAGCGGAGCGAGGCACCGCGCAAATCTGAGCAGGACCTCGCCGTCCTTGGGGGGCTGCGATCTGCGAAACTGTCGCCACTTTTGAAGGCGGCTGGTGGGTCCAGCGGAGCGAGGCACCGCGCAAATCTGAGCGGTGGCTCGCCGTCCCTGGGGGGCTGCGATTTGCAACTGTCGCCACTTTCTAGGGCTGCTGGTGGGTCCAGCGGAGCGAGGCACCGCGCAAATCTGAGCGGTGGCTCGCCGTCCCTGGGGGGCTGCGATTTGCAACTGTCGCCACTGTCGATGGCTGCTGGTGGGTCCAGCGGAGCGAGGCACCACGCAGATCTGAGCGGTGGCTCGCCGTCCCTGGGAGGCTGCGATCTGCGAAACCGTCGCCACTTTCGGGGGCTGCTGGTGGGCCCAGCTGGGTGAGGCACCGCGCACATCTGAGCCGGACCTCGCCGCCCCTTGGGGGCTGCGATCTGCGAAACTGCCGCCACTGTCGATGGCTGCTGGTGGGTCCAGCGGGGTGAGGCACCGTAGCTCGCCGTCCCTGTGGGC